TATAGAATTCTTAGTAAGAGTTCCTTTGACTGACATAATCTTGACGCGAAATGGAATCTATTTCTTGACGAAATCAATGTAACAAGGCCTATCATTTGTCGCGAAACAAACGTGTGAAACGACTCAAATACGCGTAAATTGAAAAAACTAACAGCCGCGATAGCAAGATTTATTGCTGCGAGCAAAATAATTGCGAAAGTACCGCGTGTGGTACCGCGCAATTCTCTATTCGTATACGGAGAAAATATTGTAGTAAAAATTGCAATATTTTTGTGATCATGCGCTATACAAGATTATAAACAAAATTACTATATATCTGTTTAAAAAAATATTATATATATCTAACTTTTTGTTCAAAAATATTATTACTGGAATGTTTTCTCTTTTTATATCGTATATATTCGTCAAAAATAAAATAAAATTATTTCTTCAACAATTTGCACTATAATTTCAGTATATTTCAGTTTTACAAAAAAAAAAAAAAAAAAACATTGTAAAAGGAAATATAATATTTTAATATAATTTTGACATAATTTTGACTACAATATTTTCTTCATATATATATACATTGCTCGAAACAATTAAATTCAATTGCACGGAAAAAACAATTCTGTTGTATATTTGTGCAACTTGAGTCAATATAAAAAAAATCACTTTTTTTTTAATAGAGATATATATTTTTTATAGAGATATATTTACTAAAAATCAAAATTAGCATTATACAAATATTAACTTGTTTCAAACATTAACTTCCTCTGCTAAAATGATGTATATAGTTGAAGATTTCCTAATCGTTTCGAGCAGTGTATTCATTGTATGTATACAAAAGTCTATTCTAGCAAAGTAAATCGCAATAATTTCAACGAGTTCTACTAAATGACCAGCACCTTATATAACCCACTTTTTCTCACTCACCAAACGTCTTGCAGTCAGGATCGGCCACGTTCAGCAAGCTAGATCTGGAACAAAAATAATAGTAAAATATTAATTTTTATTTAATAATAGTAAAACATTAATTTATAATAGTAAAATATTAATTTAGATTTGATAACTTGAAGATTCTAACGAAGATGTACACACACTGAGAAGAAAAAAATACTTAAAGAAATATTTGAAAGTTTATTTCTGAAATATAATGTTTATTTGTGTGAAATAAAGTTTATTTCTATGAATGAACTTTTTATTCTACAAGTAGAATTTAAAATATTTTTTTCTCAGTGTACAGAAGCAGCGGAAGTGAACTATGTTTTTGCGATATAGTAATACAATTTGCTTTCACGGTTGTATATCTCGAATTTCGAATAAAAAATTAACAAAAGATATATGTATCATATGCATGAATTTACCTTCGAGCCGATCCTGCTTGGCCCGAACCGAAACCTCCGGTACCCCATCCGCATTCACCGGAAACACATTCTGTCGGAACAGCACATCCCACCACATCTGGAACAAAAAATAAGTTTCCTGATTAATTACAGTAATGAGAGGTGATGATTCGCCTTAACTATGTTAGGAACAGAATTGCGAATAATTAATTATTTTTTCATTTAATTATCGAATTTAATTAACGATTAATGCAAGCCTATTTACTTAAAAATATTTTAATTAACCACTGACTTAAAGAAACCTAATTAAAAATCATTCAATTAACGATTGATTTGAAGGAATTCAATTAAAAACTGCAGAATTAATGATTAAAACGAGTAAAAGTAATTAAAGATTATTCGATTAATGATTAAACATAGTCAATGTAATTAAAGGTTATTTAACTGACAATTAATATAAGCAAATTTAATCGAAAAGCTCAGTAAGACGATTGACCAATCGATGTGTGTCAATCGAAATTGTAATTGTAGTTATTTACATTGCTGATAGTAACCAACTGACCTGAATAAATGCTTTTATATATATATATATATATATATATATATATATATATATATATATATATATATATATATATATATATATATATATATATATATATATATATATATATATATATATATATATATATATATATATATATATATATATATATATATATATATATATATATATATATATATATATATATATATATATATATATATATATATATATATATATATATATATATATATATATATATATATATATATATATATATATATATATATATATATATATATATATATATATATATATATATATATATATATATATATATATATATATATATATATATATATATATATATATATATATATATATATATATATTGTTTATATCAATTGTCAATTAAATAACCCTTAATTACATTGACTATGTTCAATCGTTAATCGAATAATCTTTAATTACTTTTGCTCGTTTTAATCCTTAATTCAATAGTTTTTAATTGAATTCCTTCAAATCAATCGTTAATTGAATAATTTTTAATTAGATTTCTTGAAGTCAGTGATTCATTAAAATATTTTTAATTAAATAGACTTATATTAATCGTTAATTAAATTCAATAATTAATTGACAAAGTAATTAATTACTCGCAATTCTGTTAGGAATATGTATATCCCGAGCGTATTTTTTTTAAATTTAACAAAAAATTAATATTGCAATTATACACGTACATCGTTTTCAGATTGCTTCCACCGTTCACGACGGCCGCGGCACGATAGCGCACGCGAAAGATCATAATTGATCTCATTTATACTTTAATCGAATTGTAAAAATCGGGAAAGTCGCGCGCGACGTCTTTCGATGTGAATAGATTCGCGTCTAAACCTGTTATGATCGCTCAGTCGTCATATCGACAAGTGTTGTTGCGAAGGTCGCGTAACCGTCAACACACGCCGAGCCTCCAGGACTAGCGCCATAGTATCCGCCTAAGTTTTTGTGTATGTGTATGTATACACGCGTCGGTTATATTTCTATATACAATATGTCCCAGAATTATCGAACATTATATTACTCAACAGCACACTACGGAGCTAACTTAGAATCGAAAATTCTAATATGCACTGAGAGAAAAAATACTTAAAAATATGAGTAAATATTTATTCGATGGGTACTGACAGCACATGTGTAGTAAAAATTGCTACACAGAATTTTGTAACTGAGCAATTCGAATCCTGACATTCTGCAATGATTGACGATTCTTTCGTTTTATACGTGCTATTTATATTTTAGGATCTGTGTGTGTGTGTGTGGAATGTGCTGTTAAAAATTTTGCCAAAGTTTTTAGCAAAATTTTCTGCACAACTGAAAACATATAGTAGAATGGAAAGAAATTTATATGAAAAATAGCTATAATATTTTCTCCATACTATTTGAACCATTAGAAGTTGAGGCTATTATGGTCGATTTGTGTACATGCTTACGTAGTAGAAATCTACACGATATCCCTGGCCAACTTTAATCCGCTCCTAACTCGCTAGCCTCTATCGCGACCTCGATATTTTCGTCTTACGACTTTCAAATCTAATTAAGAACAGATCGAGATAATAATGACTATGATGGTTTCACGTATAGTGGGTTGCAAAACAGTTCAGACACGAAGTTGAGACCTCACTAAACTTGAACACTTGAACTTTAGTCATTGTTGTGACGAGTTTTCTTGCTCAGTAATTATATTATTATTATAAATTATTATTAGTATTTTTATTATTTAATGTTATTCAGTGTTCTTAATTATATTATTAATTATATTATTATTGCGATAAGAGACCGTCGGTAATGACTGCCAATTTAGACAGTTTGGGATGTTCCTAACTTCATCGTGTCTAAACCAGAGTTTCGCAACTAGAGCTGTAAAAATATCAATTAAAAATCTCTTTTAAATAATTGATTCGAATTAATATGTTTCAGTTCAACTAATCGACGATTGATTAAAGCAGAATTAATTGAAGAATGTTTAACTGACGATTTATTTCAACGATTTCAATTAAAGACCGTTCAACTGATATGAGTGAATAGAAATATAATTAATTATTTGTAATCTCCTACACTAAACTATCAAAATTCACTATCGTTATCGTGAAGAGTTTATCCAGAAATTATATTATTCATTGTTACTATTATCAATTGTTATTACTTTATTTTAATTATTATTTTACTTTTTATTTTAATTATTTTCTACTTATTATTACTACTAATTATTTCTTTTTATTATTTTTTAATTATCTTAATTTGCTATTAAGTGTTTTTAATCATATAATTAATTGTGTTATTATTGTGTAAAAGTCAATATCGGAATAATGACTCCCAATTTGGACAATTTGATCTACTCTCAACTTTATTGTGTCAAAGCCGTTTTGCAACCTACTGTACGTCTCATATAGGGGTCCGCTGTTAATAATCGAGATATACCGAGATATAGTTGCAGGAGCAATCGCTCTAGCGAAGTGTTATCAGCGCGACGAGGTGAACGGAGGGCTGAGAGTGGCGGTGAAGTCGTGTCGAATTGGCGCGACGTCGCGGGGCCCTTCCTAAGAGGGTTCAAGAGCGCGTCGTCGGTCGGCGCGCGAGGTATAACGCGCGAGGAAAAGGAGAAACAAAATCCAATTAGCGCGAGAAGAGCGCACGTGAAGCCGTGGCTCGCCCGGCCGACTGCATATCGCCAATGTCAAGAACGCGGCGCCCGGTCGCTCTTGGTCGGTCGGTCGGTCGGTCGGTCGGTCGGTCGGTCCCGTGACCGTGTGCGTGCCACTTGATCGAGTACTTTTCTTTTTTCGCCGATCGCCTTTTGACTCCGTCAGAGAGCCCGGAGGAGCCTCCAGCGAAGAGACGAAGGAAGACGAGGGGCGTGTCCGGTCGCGCGGCTTCTACAAAGAGATGCCCACTTCCCCGTGGACCCCTTCCACTCCTCGGGGATCCCCTTCCACGTGGGTCCCAGGAGTTCGTCCGTCCGTCCGTCCGTCCGTCCGTCCGTCCGACTCGGTCCCCCACCAGCGGGCCCCAAGAAAACCGGGCAGCATGGTCCAGACCACGAGATCGCCAGGTAAAGCCAGTTTACGCAACGCTTCCGTACGCGAAGCATACACGGCGATCCAGAAGAGGGATCCCGAAGAGTCTCAGACGGAAGCTTGACGGGACGACTGACAGACGTACGTCGAGGAGAGAGAGCGAGAGAGAGAGAGAGAGAGACATCACGCGTTTCCGCACCTTCAGGAACATCCCTGAAGACGTTCGCATCGACATCGACGATATTGACAGTTCAATCGAACGTATAATCGGTCGCGGAACTTGACAGTCAAAAGTAAAGAGAAAAACAATGACTATCGCCTGAGAGAGGAAGAGAAAGATTCGCACTGATATCGCGCGTTATGATATAAAAGATCGCCGAGGGTGATCGAAGAATCGAATTCGTTGAACGTGCGCACACGAGGATGACCTCCTACGCGACCTTCCAGCAGTACGATCTCCTGGACTCCGAGGGTTACGGGTCCGCGAGCAGCCCGGAGTCGAACCCGCGCGGCACCTGGCACCATCAGGAGATCTACCCGCAACCGCCGCGCTCCAGGGGCAGCAGTTGCGGCAGCGTTAGCTCCGTCGACAGCCACCACCAGCAGGAGTACCAGGAGATCGGCGCCCCCAATGGTAGCCTGCACGTGACCGCGGGCTTCAACTTTGCCGACTTCTACGAGGGCTACTACCAGGAGGGCTGTCGCACCAACGAGCACCAGCCGTTGAACGGCAACGGCGCGAACAGGAACGTCAAGGATCACCACTCCAAGGTCATCTTCAGGAGCATGAACGAACAGTGCGCGAGCTACGGCGATGCCCCGTCTAGGATGGGCTTCAACGAGATCGCTGCGAGCAAGCAGGATCCGGCGGGGTACGCGCAGAAGATGGAACATCATCATCACCATCACCCGGCCGGTGTCTTCGCGAATTCCCGCGGCGAGTACGGCCCGAGCCAGGAGGCCGTCTTCGCGGCGAAGAGCTACGCGAAGAACGGCGGCTTCCTGCCGCGGAACGAGAACCACCCTTACGGCCAGAGGGCAGACGTGCTTTACTTGGGCGCCGCTTACACCGTGCAGAGGAACGACGCCGGTCTGGCGGCGAACGGCCAGCCGGCGAGCAAGTGCGACCAGTCGCGGTATCATCAGCGGGACGACGGCCTGCACGTTCTGCCGGCGGACTACGCCGGCCAGAAGTCCAAGGACGCGATACAGAAGATGAAGAGTAGCGCGCCCGGTATCGAGGTACTGAGGAAGAGGAGGCTCGCGGCGAACGCCAGGGAGAGGAGGCGAATGAACAGCCTGAACGACGCCTTCGACAGGCTGCGCGACGTCGTGCCCAGCCTCGGCAATGACCGAAAGCTCAGCAAGTTCGAGACGCTGCAAATGGCGCAGACCTACATCGCCGCACTCTACGAGCTGCTGCAACGCGAATGAACGTCCGGCTCGGCCTCTCCTCTGGAAAGGAGAACGAGCATCATCGACGTCGCCCCCCTGGACGCGTGTCACCGCGACAGCACAGAGTCCTCGAGGGAAATCGCGAAATGTGTGACGGCTTGGGAAGCACTCAAGCTTCGAAACAAAGAGAGAAAGAGAGAGAAGGAGAGGAAGAGATACTCGAGGATACTCGTGTTCGTCGGCCCCGCGAGGATCCATCCTTTGAAGGAGTTCCAGTCGACTCTGCGGCGAAGACAACGTCCAAATCGACCTCGCCCCCGCGAGAGAATCGGACTTCACGACGAAGCGGACGCCAGACTTCTGGAGCATCGAACGTGGATTTCCGCAGCATCGAGCTCGGGGTAGACGCGCGGATTGAGAGATCGCAGTTCCTCGGCGGGAAGAACGGGGCGCGTCCTGCCTCCGACAGACAACGTCCGCAGGTAATGACGAATTGTCGGGATACCGGGAACGAGACAGCTTGTCGGGTAGGATGAATTAACGAGCGAACTGGGAATCGGGACTTCATTAACTTGTAAACGAGTCACTCGACCACGGCGGCATCGAACGCGCGCGCGCACTGCACGTAGATGAAAAGCATAATACCGGCGTTGTTATCGGCCAAGGTCTTCTGGGTCTCTCTCTCTCTCTCTCTCTCGTTACGGACTCGATTGATCCGTTCACAAAAGGGAGAGATCTGCGGCAAATTCGCGCGCTTTTTCGTGTCATCATTTTTCGGTTGCGCGAACAAATGTAACGTAACTTTCGACCTTTGAGCTTCGTTATATCGAGGATGTCTGACGACCAAGCTGATGACCATAAGACGTGTTGACAGAAAGATGATCGTTATAAGCTTAATCTGCAATGTGCTCTTTGCCTTCTGTTTCTTGTTCTCTGTATTTTTCTGGTTTAAAGCCTAATCTACAATGTGCTCTTTGCGTTCTGTTTCTTGTTTTCTGTCTTTTTTTGGCTTAAAGCTTAAGATTTGAGATAGAAAAAGATAAAGAGCAAGAAGCAAAGAACACATTTTAGATCAATCTTAAGGTTCGAGTCAAAAAGAGATGAAGAGAAAGAAACAGGAAGCAAAAAACACATTATAGATCAAGCTTAAAGTTTAATCCACAACGTGCTCTTTGCTTCCTGTTCCTCGTCCTCTGTCTTTTTCTGGCTTGGGACTTAAGGTTCGAGTCAGAAAGAGATGAAGTAAAAAAGAAACAGGAAGCAAAGAACCTGTTGATCAGGCTTAATACTTTGGTTTTTTACTTTTAGCTTAATACTTTGATTTCATGGAAGTAACGTTCAAAAATACGATCGATATCTGTCTCATCGAACTGCCTTTCGATATCACGTTGACACGTTGCTGGCGACAGCTTGTGTCAAAATTAGCCGATTACGACGTCGACGAGTACAAAACGACGTCTTTAATTGCGCGCGTCGGGTTTCATCGAGTGCGTAGGGTTTAGCGCCGCGCGCTAATTCATCGTCGATACCGGTCCCGACGTCGCGGTGCATCGCTGCGGAATTCCGGGACGTTTTTCCAATCGACCGTGATGGGATCGGAGCGAAGAACGGAAACGACGCGACCGACCGATCGAGGAGCCTTACGAAGGAGCGGCAGTTCTTTGGGAATCGCGTCTCAAAGCTCCGGAAGCGGTTAGAATATTTCTGTATTGTGTCGACGACATTTGTGCGAAATATCTTCGAGTATCGAGAAAAATCGCGATGCATTGGAATAACTGTACATGTCGTCATTGGTTCAATTTGTGGAACTCATATGTTCCAAAAAATACAATCTTATCTTTAAAATCGTCTTATATACGTGGTCTCAAGAGGATTCTTCTAAAACCAAAAGGAAAATATTCCAACACCTCAAACAGAGGTTATAAAAATATTACTTCCTGTAATTCTACATTTTCTAGACAAAAACTTTTACAAACTTTTCTAAAACAAAGTAGACTATTAATCGAAAAAATCTATTAGATATTATTTCAACTTTTTTTCCTTGTTAGGTAAAGAAGAATATATTTATTTGAAAAAATGTCTTCTTACTTGAGACTTGTATTGTAAAAGACGAAATTTCTTTAAATTTATGAATATTGTGCACACAATATTTTTCTTTTGTGGTTTTAGAGAAGAATCTTTTTGAGGCCAATATATACCAAAAGATTCCGCTAAGGATAAGATTATATTTTTTTGATATTACACTGAGAAGAGATATTTGAAAATTTATATGTGGGATATATAGTTTTTGTGAAAAGTGAAATAAGAAAAAGAAAATTTCTGTGGATAATCTTTATATTTCACATGTAAAGTTTCAAGTATTTTTTCTCAGTGTATGTGATGATCACTTTGCGATTTTCGTATTCTGCTGTCTGAGAGAAATTCCATAATACGAGATTCACACACTGAGAAAAAACAATTAAGTCAATAAAATCTGCCTTTAAAGAAATATTGTATCTGTTGGGCAAATTACATGTTAGTGCAATAAGTTGCCTTGATATAATTATTGACTACATTGCAATCATTGAATCAATTGATAACACATACACACATTAAAGTAACTATATAATTCGTTCAATCAACTAAACGTTTGCTTGAACGAATTTTGTCAAAGTCTTATTAGCTCAACTTCTTTTTTTCTCAATGTAATACATGAAGAAATTCTTACACACGGCGAAAATTGTATTTCAAATACTAAAATAGATCGTGATAAAGTTGATTTCTCATTTTGCTTACTCGCACTCCAGGAAACTCCGGAGCCACGCGTATACTGAGAAAAAAGTAATTGTGAATCGACAAAATCGGTGGTCAAGAAAATATATTGCATCAATTGAGTAAATTATACGTTGGTGCAAGAATAAGTTACGTTGATACAGTCATTGACCAAATTGCAATCATTGAATCAATTGACATAACTCACCACAGCAACGGCAGAATTCGCTCGATCGACTCAACGTTCGCTCGAACGAATTTTGTCCGTCCAGACGAGGTCTCATTAACTCAAGCACTTTTTTCTCTCAGTGCACGGAGAGACTCGCGTTTCTAAATAATCGCGATAACGACAAATGTCGCCGGCCCGGTGCAGAACACCATTACAGCTGCGAGTGGGAAGGACAGGGCGCATAAAATGTGATCGTTGACTGTAATACCGAGAGTGGCCCCCACGCCAACTATCGCCACGCTAGAACGGCGGGGGCGTGCTCGCCTCGAGTTTAATTGTAAATAGGCACCGTCGTACATTGTCGTCCGCACGAGGCACCGTGTAAATATCTGATTCAAGACGCGTCTAACTTATTGCGAGGCTGTATAGGTGATTCTGTACATACACGTGCGTAGTGCGCGCGCGCGCGCGCACACACACACACACACACACACACATATATATATTACACGCATACGCGCACGCACTGCGGGGGCAGGGTTCTCCGTTCTCTCGCGTACGTGCGCACGTGCGCGATCGTTCATTGATGCCTCGAGTCGACGATAGGTATCAATTGAGGAGTTCGCTCAAAAAAGAGCGTATGAATAATGGCTCGTCTTATGAGGGAAAAAGGGGGGGAATTTTTCGCGGCTCGAGCGCATTTGCGTTTCGTTTGAAGCTTCGCCGCGGGAACGAGAGAGTGTATAATGTGTCTCTTGAGGCGATAATATCTCAAAAAATGAATAATGGTGATGATATCTGAAGGAATGTTTACCGCGCGGCAAAGCCAAGAAACGCGGCGGACGAGAGGACCGGATTGGCCAAATCGATTTCTCGCACGCTCCTCTCTTTGACGGCGAACTCCGACACGGACATTTCGCGTTTCCGGGGAAACGCCCGACTTTACGTCCGCCTCGTGTTACCTGAGTATCCATCTGTAGCTAATGCTCAACGGCAATTGTTAGACTAATTGTACATAATTATCTCGAAGAGCGATTGCGCGCGGCTCAGCTTTTAATCGCCTTAAACGCGGAGATCACACGCTGGCCGCGACGAGAAAGAAGCGCGCCAATCACGAGTGCTGAGGGAAATTGAATCGCCAGGGGGAGAAATAACATCAATTTGTCGGTATCCGTGGCGTCGGCGCTGTTTACACCTTGTCGTTAGATTAATAATAATCATAATTATAAATCACCACCCCGTCGCGTCGAGCGCATATTTTCTGTAATATCGGCGATCATTAATTCTCCATACGCAATTTCTCGATACGCGACTGATCGTCGGCAACATCATCGGGAGAGCCGGGATCCCGTAATCCGAAAAGGTCAGGCACTCGCGGACGCACAATCGACGCTCGCCTCGATCGAGACGGCGGGATCGAGACGGCGGCCGTGCATTTTTCGCGGTTTCGTCTCGACTTGAGAGCGCGAGACGACGCGTGACTGGAATAATCTCATTCGGCCGCGATTCAGCCCGCGACGCTCCTCTCTCGCAATTAGGGATATGCAAAAATCGCGGGACAAATGGCGGCGGCCGGCCACCTCCACTTAGCAGTCAATCACAATTAAATACAATTTTGCGCGGGCCGCAGGGCCCGGTAATGGCGCAAAAAGAGAGCAAATTGAAATCTCCTAGCTGACAGAATGATAGATGGTGCCGGCCAGACGTGAGAAGACGCGAGAGCGACGGAGAGAGGTGTAAAAGAGAGACCAGAAAGAGAGGAAGAGAGAGAGAGAGAGAGAGAGAGAGAGAGAAAAAGAGAGTGAGAGACGAAGAGAGAAAGATGAAGAGAGAAAAGCGGAGAAACAGCCTCTCCTCCACATCCCGAGAGATGTGAGAAAGCTCTTCTCTCCTCCGTTCCGCGAGAAAGAGATTCGCGAGAATGAAAACACAGAGAGGAGTAAGTCCGGCAGCAGATGATAGCGCCACTGCGCGCGCGCGCGCGCGCGCGAAGCCGATTTCTCTCGCTAATATCGCTAATCCTCTCCATCTGTTGAAAATGAGGATCTGATCTTTGCGCGGAGCAGCCGGTAATTTATATCGATCGGTACGGCGCGAAGGAGACGAGAAGATGCAGCGGGATGGTTCATTCCTCTCTCTTCTATGAACCGCGGTCATTACGGCAGCGCCGTTTAGAGGCGTAGATTAGTTACGCGCGCCGCGAAATAAAGCGCGATGATTATCGGCCGTGATAAGCGGCGCGCGATCATCGCGATACTCTATTCTCGTGAAGCTCGATGGCCGTATAAATAAGGGTCGAAAGCGCCAGGAGAGGTGAAGGATCGGCCGAAGGAGAGAGAGACACCCGTCATCGCGTCGTCTTCATCCCTGCCGAACGAAGTCGAGAGCAGCGAGAGACCGAGATTTCTCCTTCTCTTTCTCTCTCTGTCTCTCGTGTGCGCGACTTTTCCCCGCGTCGGCTTTCCTCCGCTTGTTTTCCTTTTCTGCCCGAAACGCGCATTAAATGTCGAAACGACGCGTATTACCGTCGCGCGACAGGACGACGGAGTCCTTACAGCGCGCAGCGTCGCTGTAATATAATACTTTATAGTTGCCACATTCCGCGTGCCATTACAGCCCCGTGCGCCTTGTAATGGCAGTATTATAAAAGGAAACGATGAGTCGCGCTCATCCACCTGCTCGGTAATCAAATCGCGGGATTAAATTGCCCACGATTTCGCGTCTCCGCGCCGTCGATGGGGAATTAGAGGGGCTGGCGGGGAACACAGGGGGCACTCCGCGTAGCTCAGGACATTATCATTCAATTGGCGCCGCTACCGTCGCGGATAAATCACGCGGTAATTAACGGCGCAAGACAAAACGCGTCGACGCACGGGCGCCAATTAATTTCGCTTGTAAACAACGGAGCCTCCGCGCCGCGTCGTACGAATGTATTTTCCGCTCCGGCTTCCTCAATTAAGGCGATAGAGATTTATACGATTCGCGCGTCGATCGAGCGACGTTGAGGAGAAGATGGGGGGCTTGGTGGCGGAGGAAGGAAGAAGGAGGAGAGAGAGAGAGAGAGAGAGAGAGCCGCGGCTAATTATTCACCGGTCCCATTCAAGGCGGCCGGAACCGCGGATGAAACGGGGAACGTTGCGAGCGGATAAGGCGAGAGGTAAAGCGAGCGGGCCAGGAGAGACGCGGACGCGAAAGAAGGAAATACCTCGAGTAATATCAAAGAGCGAGGAGGGTACGCGCTAATGGCGAACGACCGGGCCCGCATGTGTGGGCCTGCCGGGCCCCATCCCCGTCCTGGGCGCGTGATACACGACAATACACGCAAACGCTAATCAGTCGACGCGCAACGTCTTCATCTACGCCCCGGCCGCGCATCAGCCGCGCTTCGTCCCTCTATCAGCGCGATTTGTCTTCCGTCGCGGCTTGATGCGGCCCCGGCCAAGGACGCGAGAAGCCCCGCCGAGTCTAGGGCCTGGAAGCGAGAAATTGAAGACGCGCTCTCTCTAAATTTCTTGAAGCGCGATCTCACGCAAAACGAATGGGAGCTGACGGTGTTTTCACTCGAAGCGATCGTGAAGACACTGTCGCTCGAAATCGCGGGGGGTGAATGTTTCAGTCAGACTAGAGTGAATATCCCAAGTAGAGAAATTTTTGGGAAGAATTGGCCACCAGTTACAAATCGGTCAGTTTTTACTGGTTAGAATTTATTGAACAGTAACTATTCAGAAACTCGACAGAGAAAAATACTGATCAGTATTTCTAGGTTGAGTTACTAGCCAGAAATTAGATCATAAAAACGTTAGTATAATATTGACCGGTTTCTCTGCCTAATAAAAACTCAGGAAATATTGGTTGGGCGCGCAGTATTTTTGGTCTAATTATTAGGCAGAAACCAGGCCACACACATAAAAATGGTTAGTAAATATTGGACAGTTTTTCTATCTAATAAGAACTCAGAAAATACTGGCTAGTCTCTTGGTCAGTTACTAGCGCGAAACTAAGAAACAGGAAAAATGATAATTAAAAGTAAAGCTATCTCAATAATAAATGAATTTGCACATGTAAGAACTCTATCTTCTGAAAAACGGATTTCATACTTTATTTTAAATAATATAATATTTTACTATGTAAAATCAAACAATGAAAAGTATTTGACAGAATTGTTTGCAGAAAAGTTTGATTAGAAACTAGTAAAAAATTGGTTGGAAACTGGCTAGAAACTAAACAAGTTTTACTGTTCAGTTGCTGGCGAAACGAGTGTCGTCTAAACTAGCCAGTAATTAGAATTCAGATCAATTATTGGCTAGAAAGAGGTCTTTCCACTTGGGATGTTTCCGTAACAGTGAAACACATCAAATTTACTCTTCAATTTCGAATGAAAATATTCACTCGGCGATTAAGAGCGAAGGATTCACTCTGTATGAGTGGAAGATCCGAATGACTCGATAGTCACACTTTATCTTTCGAGTGAAATTTCACTCTAAGAAATTTAGAGAACGACGGAACAAACGGGGTTCCCTTTTCGTGAATCCCGCGAATTATCACCCTTTTTTATCTCCCTTTTCTTTTCGCCGACGTGTAAACAGCGTACATCGACCTCCTGGAGGAGGACGGCTCGTTGATATAATTATATGATGATCATATTTTGACACTATAGCGAGGGAGAATAATTCAAGGATCGCAGGAACAGAGAAGAGAGACAGCGGCCAGCGTGATCTCCTTTACATTTGAAACGAAGTTTGAGCGAAGTTCGCGCCGAGATATGAGAGAGCCTCTGGTGATTAATCATACTTAAGACGATAACCGAGCGATAATTGTGCGAGAAAAGAGAAACCGCGATCGCGATCTACCTGTTGTACAATGATCTCTTTTGTGCCTCCCCCAGGCACGAAGAAACGATAATTCTCCTCTTCACGGCAATCTCGCGCACGAAAGGGGAACTTTTTTCGAAGACTGTATTTTTGCATTGTTAGCACTGCCGCCAAGTACCTTTGTAAATAAATTGTTTATTTTTTTTGTACCTAGATACGAGTTAGGCGATAAGACTCCAACTTCGAGCGGTTCTTGTAAGGTTAACGAAATCAATTTCCCACCAATAATGTTCCTCGACCAAGACCAAATGTATTTAAGAACGTGCAATGTTAATAAAGAGACGATTCTTTGGAAAAATCCACATCTTTCTCTCTCTTTCTTTTTCTATTTATTCCCCAGTTTTGACGAGTGCTTTCGTCGATAATGACTCGCGCTCCTAATGACTTGCATTAAAACGCCGACCTGCGAAATCAACAAATCCAAGTCGCGCAACACATGCGCGCCACGCCGCTAATATCTTGTCACGAGAGACAAGAAGCATCATCGCGTCGGGTCCGTCATCGTCGTCGTTCAGCGGCACGAGAGAAAATTATGTAGATGCCGTTTTCGACTGGATCATCGGCAACACTCGTAAGTATAATATCGAGTCTCGGAAATTATCAAAATCGGCCGACCCACAGGCCCGCCATAATTTCTATCTCGCGAGACGTGGAGCCGATCGACGAGACGCGACTCCAGACCCAGACGTCCCGGCGGGATGCATAGGGATGCATATTCCGTCTCGGCTTTAGGCACCGCGAGGGAGAGGCAGAACCACCTCTAAACTGTTCCTTGAGGCCATCGCCTTTTTCTAGGAAGTCTAGGATATAACTGCCCGTAAATGCGAGCGGCTAACGTTTACTGCGACTGGGGCGAAAACTAGCCCGGGCGTTTCGCGAATATCCGTGTCGAGGTCGGTGCAGAAGAGCGTTCCCGATTCGGTCGGTGCGATTTTCACGTTTTCGTCATGGACGCTCGAAGACAACAGATCCCAGAGCTCAAATCCTGATTCACAGGTGTAAGTGAGCCTTTTGCTGTAAAGGGAGAATTCACATCTTGACAGAAGAGCAGAAAACAGGAAAGCAGTAGCCAATCAGAACCCGCGCTGGTAGAAAAGCAGAAACTACCGACCACCATCTGACCACTAACGCGAGTTCTGATTGCCTTTTTGCCTCTCTGTTTTCTCCTTTTCTGCTAAGGTGTGAATTCTCCCTAAGAGCTTCTGGCACAAAACGGTTTCCTGCATTATTTCAACAGCTGAAATCTGGCCAATTTACTTGAAGCTTAGAAATTACGATTTCAGGAACAACAATAGGAAAATTAGTCGAAAATTACGTCGCAGTTTTGGGCTCCGAACAAACGGCTGAAAGCCTGCTTGCACTTGTAAGCCGAGACGAAGGGAGCTCGATTGAGTCGCGCGTAAAAAGCCGCGACGGGCCTGACGACGTCGGGGTGTCATTAGTCGCGTCGCGTTGCGACGCGGCGAAGCGCGTCGTTCGCACTTTCGATTTCCATTCGGGCGGCTCGCTGCCACAAGGGTAATTGGTATCTTACGCAGCCGCGCTGAGAGAATAAATCGATCGCGGTGGATGTTGTTTGGTTTGATAGAATGCCGGATAGCGGCGGACGCACAAAGCGACCTTCGGTCCAGCCGGCCGAACCTGCTACCACGCCAGACAAATTGATACCAGGCAACGCACTCACTCTCCCTATCTTTTCCGCCTGCGCGCGGCCTACGACTGCCTTACGTGCCTTGCAGTAGGTACGGGCGCATAACTTCCAGACCTCGATACGCCGCCAAGTGGGAACGGTCAGGGCCGCCGTTGTACGCGAGCAGAACGCGCGGCTCATCTCCGTTTAAATCGTGTGAATGTGACGCGCGTGAGTAAAGCCGTCGGGTGGTAACCTGCGGGTCCTCTCTGGCGTCCGACCTCGCGGCGTAATCGTTATGGTTAACGAGACTTTATATACATAGGATAGGTAAGTATACTGAGAGACAAAAATTTCGCAAAAATAGTGTTCGCTTGTGCTCGTAACGTATTTAATTAAATCAAAATGTTTTTGTTTAAGCAGAATAAACTGCTTTTGTGAAAAAACTAAGGTTTTCTTAAAATTAGAAAAAAAAGTATATTTTTCTGAAATATTAGTTTTTCATGAAAGAGTAATTGTTTGTTCCTTTTAAATAAAGAAATTTTGATTTAAGTATGCTTCTAAGTAGAAGAAAAGGTAAAATGGGTCATTAGATAGAAATTGACTAGTTTTTATTGCCTAGGATTTAGTACCTAACTGTTCATGAACGCGACAGGAAAATACTGGCCAGTGTTTCTTAGCTTAGACTGAAACCAATGTTGGATAAAAAATAACAAATACTTGCTGGAAAGATTCGAGTAAGAACTCGGAAACTACTGGCCAGTCATTGGCTAGAGATAAGGTAAAAGTGTTTAAAAATAAAACTGTAACTATTACAACTATTATAAACAAAGCTACATCTCCGTAATAAATGAATTTTCACGCGAAAATATCCTAAAACACGAGTTTTACTTTATCTTTATACTTTAAATAAAATATAATATTTTACAAAGTAGAATTATCGAACGATGGAAACTATTTGAAAATACCCTATGCGCCTGTTGCGCATTTGTTTTAAGACAGTCGATTAGAGTTTAAGGCTAGAGATAAGGTAAAAGTGTTTAAAAATAAAACTGTAACTATTACAACTATTATAAACAAAGCTACATCTCCGTAATAAATGAATTTTCACGCGAAAATATCCTAAAACACGAGTTTTACTTTATCTTTATACTTTAAATAAAATATAATATTTTACAAAGTAGAATTATCGAACGATGGAAACTATTTGAAAATACCCTATGCGCCTGTTGCGCATTTGTTCTAAGACAGTCGATTAGAGTTTACAGACGTTCGGCACACTCGCGACGTGAAGGAAGAACATCGCAAGTTCCGGGTCGCGAAGATTCGCGCGGCAGGTCGACGTCTCGCGCCCTCCGTCACGGCGAATAATTTACGCGAATAGTACGGAGAGCGCCGGCAAATTACCAGTACTTACAGTGTGGCTTCCTCGTGCTCAAAGTATCGAGGGAAACGGGGATTCTACGGGTCCCCGGTGCGAGTGTACGCACGCAGGCGTGCACGCACGTCAGGCCCGATTCCTGGACCGACGTAACTGGTGCGAGACGGCTCGGCCGCCAATAACAGGGGAACGAAATTACGGCTACATGCAACGCCCTTTAAGCGCCGCATTTTATTTGGATCACTGAATGCAACGTTTGTTTGTTTTATCAGCTGATCGCTGTTCTTTCTTTTGCCACGGCTCGACTTTGCCGAGTGCATCTCGACGCGCACGCGTGTTGCATCGAATTTGAGAGTACTTTATTAACCCTTCATTAGACGCGTGATTTGTTGGTGTAATTTTGAGGCTACGTATCATCGCTCGAAGATACATCGTTTTTCGTAATATGCATTATCCAATAACCATGGGGTTATAAAAATCTCAAGTAAATTTTTCTTAATCTAATAATTGATCTGAGCAAATATGTTTTAATTCAATTAACTGACAACTGATTCGAGCAAAATCAATCGAAGAATGTTTAATCGATTTGGTTTAATTCTAGTAATGATAAGAAGTACAATATCATTATTTTGATGATAATGCGATATCTTCTTCCGACATTTAAGAATATCACATTCTCAGTACTTTTATAAATATTACTTTGAGATAATAATATATTTTTTCTCCCTCTCTTTTTATCAGAGTCACACATATAAGATATACATTATTTAAAAATAATTTTTTTTTCAAAATAGGAAAATGTTTCCTTTTCTGTATGTATTTTTTATTTGAAAAATATTTTGTATCAGTATAAGTAGATATGAAGAGTATTAGTACCCACCGAATAAATATTTATTATTTCCTTTTTCTCAGTATAGTAGATCAGCCGTCTAAAAGAAGGTAAAAACACACCTCCATATTTAAAAGTCAAATTACTCGAATGAGCAGATCAAACGAATCGATTATCCTTTTCTATTCTGCATTTCTCTCTCTCTCTCTCTCTCTCTCTCTCTCTCTCTTTATACTGATTCTATTTATACTTCAGTTTGTTATACCCTTCAATTGCCTGACGATTTTTTCTCATTTCTCGTTTAACGCAAACGGGGGCCACATTTCAACCCGAGATAAATAATCATATTTAACTTAAGTACACGATGCGAATCGGTGTAAATAAGTAACTATATCGAGGGACCGTCGTAGTGATACCGCGCGTCGCGAAATAAATCACACGCGAATGTGCCACAGGTATAATCTTCGCGCATTCGTACAAACGGCTCGAGCGTCCCGGAGCCGTCCCGATTGTCGCCTCGCCACGAGCAATCGTTATAATTGCCGTAATAATAGTAATTGCGATAATAGCGCGTTTTGCGCTATTGAACGAGCGTATTAGCTCTATTACTGTCGCGCATAAACGCCACCGAGCGTGTACGCGAGAATAAATTGACGTCTCCTCTAATTCTGGTGGCGACGATAACGCCACCAAGGACATGTCGAATTCTCCGGTAGGAGCGGATTTTGCGCGTCGTTCAATTCGGCGCCGCGGCTCGCGACAATGACGAGAAGACGCGGCTTAAGGGGATGCTGGAGTCGATGACGAACACGAGCAATGCCGATAATGCAGAGACGATCGTCACTATCATAATCACGCTATTCTTTTCGTATTTCTTGTATATAACTTATATATGAATATGTGTTGCTTTGTTTTACCATATCCAACGGAAAACCTAACCATATATGTGTAGAAATCTTTCGGCAAACTTTTTCGATATTTTTAAGCTTCCAAATGCAAATGCAAAGGTAGAGCAATGTTCTTCAAAATTTTTCTGTTTGGAGCATCCACACTTTCAGTATATACAAGCTGCGGAATTTTTGGATTAGACAAATATTACGCTAACTGACAGCTTGAGATTTTATATTAAAAATTTTTTGTTCGTTTTCGACATATATCGAGCAATGCTCCTATTTAATTTTGCATGTTCTTTCATTGCGTAAAAGCATTTGTAATTCTGTGTAACCAATACGACGTAAACTTTGCAGAAAAATGTCAGTGTTCTGTCGGTCAAGTTTTCAGCTTCAGCATCCCCTTAATTCGTCTCAATTTGTCGAGAAAGTCTCGCGCGGAAACGAAACAAAATCCGCATAACAGCGTAATAACGTCGCGACGGACGGACGGTGGGAAAAAGGAGCGCGCTTAATTTTTCGTTCCACTTGGCGCGCATCGCTCGTAAAGGCGTTGCGGTCGGAAACG